CCTTCGTACAACCAAGGGAAACAAGCTTCCCTTAACGTGTATACAACACTAAACACTCAAGAACAAGACTCTCTTTAAGAGTAGATGATGAGTAAACTAAGTACGCTCAAGAACAACTCAAACTTCACACAATTTGGCTCTAGAAAGCTATGGAAAATGATGTGATTTGGATGCAATGATAGTATGAATATTGTGAAGTGAATTTTTGTGTAAAGCAGACCCAAACACCCCTTTTTATAGTGCCAAAATAGGCTCCAACGGACTGATGCATTAAAGGGGTGATTGGCTTGATTTATGGGATGGAATAAATTTGGGATCTGCAGGATATTGGCTTCCCATCGATGTTTAGACTCAAGCATCGCTGGTAAGCCAATTTTCCTTTAGTTTTGAAGGCAACGGTCACCTACCCATCGATGGGTACAAGCTTCCCATCGCTGGGTGAGAGGTTGACTTCCAAACAAGGAAAGAATCAACCTTAAATGACTTTCAACGGTCATGCCTTCCCATCGATGGTTTAACCTTACCATCGCTGGGTTCCCATCGATGGGATAGGTTTCCCATCGCTGGGTAAGGGCATTCTGCCTTGTGATAATGTTGGACCAAGGCTTGAACAGCGATGGGTAGAGTTTCCCATTGCTTTTGGCATGGTTCTGGAAATCAGTTTCGCTGAGGGACTGCTTACCCAGCGATGGGAAGATCGATGGGAAGATCTTCCCATCGCTGGGTGGCATGATTCTGGAATCCCGGGATCACTTACCCATGCATGGGTGAAATCTACCATCGCTGGGTAGATGGCTAGTCCAGAACCATGGCTTAGCCGACCGGTGCTCAGACCCGACCGAAAAATGCAAAGTTCTCCAAAGTAAAAACTAAGTATTTAAAACACTTATTCAATGTATTTTGATGTCAAAACAAGCTTTGTAAGTTGAAAACCACGTCGTTAAGGTAAAAACCACGGTTGACCAAGTCAACACCGTACACGGGTGGTTTTCACCAAAAGACAAAACCGAAAGGTGGTTTTCATGATGTTTTGATTGGAGAACCATTTTAATGCATTCAAAAACAATTTCCACACAAAAAGACTCGAAAACCACTTCATTTAAGTAAAAACCACGGCTAGCCAAGTTTATGCCGTTTCGCATGGTTTTTATCAAACGACAAAAAACGAAAGGTGGTTTTTGAAGTGTTTTTGATGGAAAACTATT